AGGCAGTGACGGCCCAGGGGCCAGGCCAGCTTGTTCCCACAGATGGGTGTGGAGGGGCAAGTACAGATGCCTGCGTTTAACACATGGGTCAGTGACAAATGTCCTGTACCCTGGGCGAGTGCCCCTCCCCTTGGGATCCAGCTTCGCGTCTACCCACATCCTCCTGCCCTGAGGTGAGGTGACATGGTGGAAACTCAGCACAGCGGGGACAGCACCCCCATAGGCCCAATGACAGAAGGACAAGGTTTGTCTGCAGCCTGGAAACACATTTTCTTTAAGGGGGGTGAGGGTGGGATGCCTAGCAGAGGTCAGGGGGGGCCTAGGGGCCATGTCCGGTGACATTTGACCAACCAGGTCTGACAGTCTGGGCCCACTACTTCAGGCTGTGCGGGGGGTCTGCAGGGCTGTACCCGGAAAGCAGTGCTCTGACCACTGAGCTCCCTCCCTGGCTCCAAACACATGTCTGTGTCCATGTGCATGCAGAGATGCTCCCTCAGCCCCAGCTTTGCTGGCAACTGTTCCAGAAGCCACTTTCCGACCTTCGTGTGCCCAAGGAAGCTTCTAGATCATGTGATGGGGAGGGCACCCTGAGAGGCGGCCCAGGCCCCAGAGGACGGGATGCCGAGGCGACAGTGCTGAGAGAAGAGCATGGTATGCTGGGCCTCCCACCCCCTCCAGCATCCTTACATGGCCCACTTGTTGCACAGACCAGGGGAGGGTCCCCCAAGGGGTGCGCCCAGACAAAGCACTGTCTGTGGCCACAATGCATCCTGGTTCTCCTCAACTCCTCACCCAGGAAGTGGAACGATCATCACTTCCTGGGCCTGGGAAGACAAGCCCCACTGCGCGTCTCACCCTGACTCCATCCCTGGCCCTGCCTGTGACTAAGCCCCTCGGGCACCCCCCCAGACTACCAAGGGAGCTGGAGGGATGATGCGGGCTGTTGGGGCCGACCCAGATGGATCCCCAGCACCATATAGTCCCCGGGGCACCTCCAGGAGTGACCCCTGAGCACTGCCAGGCATGGACCCCAAAACCAAATGACAATGATGCTTGGCAGGCAAGACACCCATTTTTTATTATAGCACTGGGCAAAGGAGTGGGGGCGCTCTGCGGAACAGCCCCACGCAAACCAAGGCCCTCAGCCGAACCCTCCATCTGAGACCAGCGTCGGTTTAGAGGCTGCTCCTCCCACTGTGAGCGCCCACTGGGGCAGCCTGATCCCAGCTGCCTCTCAGGGAGGGCCTGAGGGGACTTCTCTCCTTCAGCTGGATGAGAGCCATGAGTACTGTGTCATCTTTGGGGTGACCCTAGGAACCCCTATGGGGCACTTTTGATCAGGAAAGTTCCAAGAAAGAGACCCCAAACTCCAGAGAGCTCAGCCCTGCTCTCTGGGACCCCCGGAGACCTGCCTTCACCTCCCCCAAATGCGGAGATGGAAGTTCCCAGTGAGCCCCGAGAACAGGGCATGGCCAGTCTCCAGAGCTCAGAGAAGATGTGCAGGGACAAATGAACAGGCTAAAGCCCTGGGAGAAAAAATGAGGTGCTGGGGAGAAGACAGGAGCAGATGCCTGCTTAGCACACAGCTAGCCTGGGACCATCCCTGGCACTCCAGAGGGTCCCCTGGGGCTCACCACCAGTGATCCCTGAGCACAGAGCCAGGAATAAGCCCTGAGCCCCCACATCCAAAGCCAAAACACCTATAAAATAGATGCCTCACATAAGATAGGAAAAAGTGTAACAGAAAAAGAGAAACATACTATAGGAGAAGTGTAACAGTAAAAAAGAAACATACTATAGGAGAAAGGGTAACAGTAAAAAAGATACTTAGTAAACACCCTCCTACTGTTTTGATACTAAAAGTATCAAGGAAAATCCTGCGGGAGTAGTTGGTCAGGCAGGGAGGATGGTCCTTGCACTCATCAGGTTCCAGGCATAAGTTCTGTGGATAGGACACTTGGGAGCCGGTACCCAGCACCCCCTGTGTACTAATGGAGAGATTAGAAAGACACCACGAGCAGACACGTGTAAGCGCTTTCGGATGCCAAAAGGCACCCCCCAGGATACACTGCTCCCCCATCCCCAGGGCACCCCCCAGAAGATACACTACTCCCTCAGGGCACCCCCAAGCCACCCCCCCCAGAGGACACACTGCTCCCCCATCCCCCTGAACCCCTACTCTCCCTGAAAGGACGCAGGGCTCCCCAGGCCCCAGCACGCCACCACCTCCACCTGGAATTCCCCCCACCCCTGCCCCCAGGTCCCTCGGTCCAGATCTCTGGTGCAGGGGAAGCTGACCCCCCCCCCCCCCCCCCGTCCTGCCATCACATGAGCCTGCACAGAGCTGCCCAGGGGTCACAGTGACAGACACTTGCTGGAAGATTCACTCAGTGGCCCGGTGAGAGGCGAGGGGAGCCTCTGGGGCCCTGGGACATCTGAGCGCGCCAACGCCCAGGAGCACAGCGCTGCTTTTTATTGGAGTCTTATCGCCGCAAGTCAATGTCCACAGGGCCGCGGGCTCTCTTCTGACTATTTAAAAAGGACATGTCTGAGGTGGGTGAGTCACTCCAGCCGCACTGGCCGGGCCACTTGTGCCTCTGGGCCTCCCACTGCTCGCCAGGGGGAGAATCCAGAACACCAGATCTGATAAGAGCACTTCTGCTGAAGTCGGTCACACTCCTTCCCGCCCAAGACATGAACTCTGACCTTGCAGACATGAACTCTGACCTTGCAGATGAACTCTGACCTTACAGGTACCCCTCACCTCCCACCCCGAACACCCCATACCCAGCGCTGGGGCAGCGCTCCCAGCCTTTTGCTAATGACCCACCATACTCAGTACGACGGGGCAAGGACAGACTCGGACCCAGGACAGATATGAGTTAAGCCCACATTTCTAGGAGAGCACTAGCAGCGCCAAGTGGCCGAGCAGACACGTCACCACACACAAGGTCCTTCAGCACCCCCGCCACGGTTCCCAAACACTCTCTGGGGGCTGGACACAGCCTCTGCTCCGGCACTTGCTTCTGGAAAGATGGTCCCAGGACAGACGGATCTTTGGGAGCCACAGAATGAGCCGAAGCCTGAGAGACGCCCAGTCTCCCTGCCCGCTCCACCCTCAGCTCCCTTGGACCCACCCAACATCCTCCATCCCCTGCAGAAAGGGGAGAGGCTGCTTGGGGGACAAGGGCAGAATCAAGGATGTCATCTTCGGTTTGTTTTTGTGAAAAAAAAATGACAAATGTATTTTCTACTTAAGCACAAATTCTTCGTGGCAAATGACTAAAGGAGCAGGACAATGGAGACGCAGAATTCGCACTCAGCAGGTCTAAGCACCGAAAAGCCAGGATCTGTCTCAAGGGTGAGGGCGAAGGTCCGTTGCGTCTCCTCAGTTGTCACTTGGGGCCCAATCTTTACCTTCTGGCTTTCAGCTCTCTAAACAGGAAGCCGAGGCCAGGACCGACCAGCGCCAGGTGTGGGACCCACTCCCTGGATGCCAATGGCCATCTGGATGGCTCTTCCCACCCACCTGCCAGGGTACAGTGTCCGACTTCTCAGTCTGTGCGCCCCTCCTTTCTCCTGAGAGCAAAGGAGCGCGTCGTGGGGCACAGTGGGGGGGGGGTGCCCCTGTACTGACTTTCCCCCGGCTGTAAGCTGTGACACTATGCACACTGGGCTCAACAGCAACCCTGCGGCCATTCCTAAGCTCCAGGAAACACCCCTAGATGTGACAACTATAGCCTTTGTTTATTAGCTGGGGGGTGTAAGGGGGTCAGAGAGGCTGCAGGAGAACACTTGGTCAACCGGGCTGGAACACCAGGTCCAAAGCTTTGGTCTTGCTTTAGCCCAGGGCTAGAAGTGCTGGGAAGCCAGCATGTCACCCCAGCAGTGCCTGGGACCCTCGGGGCCACACCCTGCAGTGACAGGGGGGCGGGGGGGGAGCGTGTGAGGCTAGAGACCAAGTTCAGGACCTCACACATGCCAGGCACGGAACTTGCTTTTCATGAGTCTTCCTGATTGTGCAGCACCCAGCGCTTTCTTCCCCTGCCACCTCCCCCCCTCCCCCCCACTCCTCCAGGGGTCCACCAGGTGTGAGGTCGGGCAAGGCTGAACACCAGCCCCACCAACTAGCTTGGCCTGATCCTAAAGGGTTCTATTGGGATTCGTGGTCTGCAAATACCAAATAGCATGGGGTGTTTCGTGTGTGTGTGTGTGTGTGTGTGTGTGATGGGGGGTACACCAGTCCCTGCCCCCCAAACAGTGGCCTGTCCTTGGCCACATACTCATCTCCACCAGGCCAAGGGAATTACCGAGGCAGCCTCTGCCTCGAGCTCCATGAGGGCCCTGCACGGCTGCTCCCTCGGAGCCCGGACGCCGGTGGCCCTGACCACAAAGCCAGGAGAGCAGGAGCTGCACAGAGAACGCATCCTGGCAAGGGGTGCTCCGGCGGACCCATCAGACTTTTCCTTCCGCTTTTTGACTGTCGACTTAATTTAATTTTGTCATGGCAGGATTAGCAACCAGGCCACAGAGGTGAAGGGACATTATAATAAGACAGCACATTAATCCTCTATCCCACCCAAGGCAGAAGCAAAACCAAACAAATAGCGGCTTCCTGGAAATTGAATTTCTGTTATCCAGATGTCAAAGATGTAATACCCCAATTACACAAACTATTGCCAGTGAAGCATGCCAGGGAATATGCGATGTAAATGGGGTGAGCGCAAGGGACGGAGCTGCCGAGTCAGCACCAGGCGCGGGAGGGAGTGATAATTAGCACTGTGCGTAGACACTAATAAACATTTATGTCTGAAATTACAACTTTTAGCAATGTTAATAAGGGATATATTGGCAATCTGTAAAATAAAAGGTCTTGAGAAGAATGTCAGACTTGAAGCAATGGCAGACCATTGCCCCTGCTGGCACCCCGCCTCCCACACACCCGCAATTGCAAATGGCCACACTGTTTGGCTGAGAGATTAATTGACATAGGAACCTACCTATAAAAATGGGTTGTGTCTCTTTGGCCTGCCCATTAACATCGTTGCTGAATTCTGAGATCTTATATACCTCATGGTGATAATCTAGATGAGAAAACAACCAAAAATTAGAATTCTAATGACCTGCAAAATAAGAATAAGCAACAAGGGCTAGAATTGCCTTATGAGCATGAACAGTCTGTATTTTAATTTGCAAATAAAATGCTAACAAACTTGATTAATCACAGATTTTGCAGTCAAATAGGAATCCCTGAAACTCTGCTTACTCTGAGGAAGTACAACAAACTTGAAATATGACTTTGATTTTAGAAAACAGCTTCACTTGATCCTACAGTTTTCATAGTAAATCTGACCACAGATGCCAATCACTAGGTTCCCTGCCTTTCAGATGATGACTATGTTTATAAGAAAGAGAAATCCTCACCCAATCTCGGGGCAGGAGAGGATCCCAAATTCCCTCCCCCACCCCCCACACACAACCCACTTTCATAAGTGTAAAAGCAACAGCACTCTTATCAGACGCTATTTTCTTAGTTTGCACAGACAAACGGTGGCCTTTTCAAGCACCTTACAGGCAAGCACATGGAAATGGAAAAAAATATGGACTTGCTATTTCAAAAACAATATAATTTGGATAAAAAAGCAAGAGGCTCACGGTTCACACAAGTAAAATTTATTCATTGAGCCAGTGCATTTAAACACGCAAACCTTTACTTTCTAAAAACTGCAACCGCAGAGAGGAGAATCGGGAACAATTTAAATTAAAAGAGTATTTTAATTAGGAAAAGAGAGAAAAGCCTGCTACATCAGTCAAACTTTGAAGTACAATCTTTTCCCGAGTTTCTCGGTCAAGATGATTTCGTTGAAAAGTGCCTATTTCTACAGAACAGACTCTCTTAGGTTTCTTTCACCACAGTTCCAGTTTGCTTGGGCTTTAGACTTCCCAGGACAAGGTCTCTCAAAATGTTTTCACTTTTTAAGATAGTGTGTTAAGTTCCCTGAGGTCCTCCCAGAGGAAACAGCCTGCAATCCTGAGCTGGAGTCAGACAGACCGGGCAGACCAGTCGCATATGGGAAGATGTAGAGAGTACGAGCGACCGGAGAACCCACATTGCTGGAAGAAAAACAGAATTCACATGGCAAACAGGAAGGGCCCAATACTGTAAAGACGAGAAAACTACGCCAGCCTTTTCATTCAACAGTACCACCAGGGGCAACAGCTATGAATGCGCAGATCTTCCAAATGTCTATTATCAAACTCTCCTCAGAGCCGCTCTGAGGCCCTGCTGCAGACTTTGCAACTGTTTCCATCAGCCAGTCCCACTTCTCCAGGTGGTTCCAACCCTTGCCTGGCTCTGCTCACATGCCAGGGGCTGGCCCCAACCACTAGGAAAAGCCACCGGCCTCTTTGCTGTGGTTGTGAGCTCGAGTTCCTTCAGTAGAGACTAAACCCTGTGGCTCCTAGTCCTTGGGTGGAAGTGTTAGGGTTCCACCGAGGTTGGGGGGGGGTCCCCCGCACCTGCTTCCACCAAGACACGTGCATACACGCGTATTCGGGGAGACATATTCTGAAATCTGCTCCGAGCTTGAGAGTTTTTTTTTCCCCCAAAGTCAGAATGCTGGGGTAATAGGGGCACAGTACCCACCAGAACAGTGCCAAAGAGCCGTGCAACTTTCTACACCCTCACAAAACCACCCTGGCCCAAGCCTCGGGCATGCACCTGTTAAATCTTCAGGAACTGACTGTTGGTTTTCATCCCCCGTATTTTTTTTTTTAATTTCTAATGCCACTTATCTGCGGGAGAGGCGATCTACTCTAAAGCCTCTTTGCCCACCCCAATCACGTAGCCAGAGAAAAGAAGAGGCTGGATGTCAACAATTCTCATTTGGGCCCGGCACCTAATGAGCTGCTTTCTCCTTCCCAGCAGAGCCAGCCCCCGGCGTTTCGCCGGCTCCTTGGGGGAGAGGAAGCGGGGGGCGCGTGCCAAGCCCCCCTCCAAGCCGCGATCGGGGCTCACGGCCTGCGGGAAAGGCGGGCCCCCCAGCCCGGGCACCCGGGGCGGACGAGCCGGAGCGGCCGCGGGGGCTCCCCAAGTGTCATTGTTTACGTTCGCCGCCACCCCGCGTCCCCCCCGCACAACTTTGCCGGCCGCCGCGCGGGTGCGGCCGCCCCCCGCCCTGCACCCAGCGGCGGGAGGGGACTTTGGGGGGGGTCCCGGGCGGGCGCCGCCCCGGCGCAGGGTGCCCTTACCTCGGCTCACCACTTTGAAGCTCTGGGATTTCCGGCTGCGTTTCCTCTCCGAGAACTCCATGGTGGCGGCGGGCGCGGCGGGCGCGGGCGCGGCGGGAGCGGCGGGAGCGGCAGCGGCGGGCGCGGGGCCCGGGCGCGGCGGGCGCGGGGCCGGCAGCGGCGGGAGCGGCGGGAGCAGCAGCGGGAGCGTCGGGAGCGTCGGGAGCGGCTGCGGGAGCGGCAGCGGGAACGGCGGGAGCGGTGGGCGCGGGGCGCGGGGCCCGGGAGCGGCTGGAGAAGCGTCGGGAACGGCCAGCGCGGGGCCCGGGAGCGGCGGGAGCGGCGGGCGCGGGGCCCGGGAGCGGCGGGAGCGTCGGGAACGGCCGGCGCGGGGCCCGGGAGCGGCGGGAGCGGCTGGAGCGGCGGCGGGCGCGGGGCTCGGGGCCCGGGAGCGGCGGGAGCGGCGGGAGCGGCGGGCGCGGGGCCCGGGAGCGGCGGGACCAGCGGCGGGAACGGCCGGCGCGGGGCCCAGGAGAAGCGTCAGGCTCGTGTCACCCGGGCCCGGGAGCGGCGGCGGCGGCGGCTCGCGGGGCTCGGCGGGAGGCGCCTTCCCGGGACAAGTTGCGCCCCCGCGTCGCGGCGGCCCGGGCCCCTCGGCGCGCGCCCCCCGACCCCGCGGCGCCGCCCAAGCCCAACTTTCCGGGGGGAGCGGGCGAGTTGGGGGCGGGGAGCCCCGCGCGGGCCTGGGCGCTGCTCGGGACGCGGCGGCGGCGAGCGCGGCCCCGGGGACGCGGCGGGCGGGGTGCGAGCCGGGTCGGGGCGCTGACCGCCCCCGGGGAGGAGGGGCGTCGCGGAGGAGGCGGCGCCGCCGGGACCCCGGGGCCACCTGCTGGCCGAGCGCGACCGCCGCCGCCGCGCGCGCCCCGAGGAGCCGCCGGAGGCCTCGGCCCTCCCGCTGACCCGGGCACCGCGGGCACCGCCGCCTCCCGGGCCCCTCCGGGTCGCTGCGTGCAGACGGCGCGGGGACCGGGGACCCAATCCGGGGGCCGGACGGGGTGCGGTGGGGGGAGGCGGGCGCCAGACTCGGGTTCTAGGCAAGTTTTCGGGGGCCCCGCCCCCAAACTTCCCCGTGCGTGCTTTGCACGGAGGGGATGAAGAGGTCTTAGAGCGTGCAGGGGGAAGGCCTGGGAGTTCCGTCCCCCAGTGCCCGGACGGACGGACCCCAGAGGGAACTTGCAGAGTTGAAGAAGGGAGGGGTGTGTGCACAGCTGCCCCTGCTGACGTAGGGAGGAAAAGGCCCAGCAGGTGCCAGGGGGACCCCGGATGTGGACAGGACTCTGCTGCGGCGGGGTCCATAGCATCCTCTTCTGGGGCGCTCGATTCACCACCCCGCACCCCATCTTTAGGGCGGGAGGGGAGGGCTGTGTCCACCGCCTGGGGAATGACAGCCCCGAGCCAGCAGGAAGCATGTGAGAGCCGCTTCCAAACTGATCGTGGCCAACAGCCCATCAGGCACGTACGTGGCCAGCTCCCGGGAGCCCCGAGGGGTGAAGAGGAGAAAGGAGAGTCTGAGGGAGGGCACGAGGAGAGAGTTGCGCCATGAGAAGTCAGAGGCAATTTCACAGCTACCTTTATGGCATAAACGGAACCAAGGATCCCCCCCCCCACGCCCCCTTCCCAGAGTGGGAGCAGGACCCGTGGAGTTCCTCTGAGTTGGTGGGAGGCTGAGGGACCTTTTTAGGGACCTGGTAGAAGTGACCCCTCATTTCTAATGCGAGTGTAAGCAGGGTCATCGTCGCCTTCCAGATCATAATTCAAAGCTCAGGGCCCTTTTTCCAAAGTGGGGTTGGGGGAATGTGTTTAGAACAAGCACAATTTTGTACAGATTTCTTAGAACCCTGTAGTTCCTTGGAGCTCTGAGAGGTGGCAGGCGCCATAAAAGTAATAACAAATGCAGTCGGTTACCCTATCCAGATGCCCCAGGCACTCCTGATCACAACAAAATAGATAAAACAGGAAGATGCTTGAACTGTCTCTTAAGAATCAAAGCCTGCTGGGTTTTTTTTTTTTTTTCTCTTTTGGGTCACATCCAGTGATGCTCAGTAAAATAACACCCAGGGGTTACTACTGATTCTGCACTCAGGAATTACTCCTGGCAGTGCTTGGGGGACCATATGGGATGCGGGGAGAGGAGGCTTGAAATTGAACCCAGGTTGGCTGCATGCAAGGCAAACACCCTACCTGCTGTTCTATCACTCTGGTCCCTCAAAACCTGCTGTTTCGCAAACTCAGCTGGGACCATTTCTTTCCCGTTGGTAATGCCTTTTTCTTTTAAATTTTATTTTTTTATTGAGGTACCATGTTTTACAAAGCTATTCATAGTACCGTGATGTATGAAGTTAATCATAAACAAGTTTAAGGTAAATAATTTCCCAACACCAATCTGGTCACTAGAATCAGGGATCACTCCTGGCTGGGCTCAGGGACCATATGAGGTGCCAGCGATGGAACTCAAGTCAGCTGTGTGCAAGGCAAATGCCCAACCCACTGCATTACTGCCCTGGCTCCTTTAATGCCTTTTAAAATGTTATTCCACAATCCACAAGACTGAGTACTATACAGATTGAGGAATGCTTAGGATTGTTCATTGCTTGGAGCATAAAATGAGGTTTTATTATATTTAAACTCTGATGAAATCATCAAAGGTGGCATACCAGCAGGTAGATTCTCTGGGGAAATATTAACACTTAGCCTTTTATTTATTTTTTAGTTCAAGTGGGATATGAATTCTATTAAGCGAAGGCGATACTTTGTATATAGTTAAGGATAAAACATGTCAAAGTCATGATATTTTATTATTTATTTATTTTTTGCTTTTTGGGGGGTCATACCCAGTGATGCTCAGGGGTTATTCCTGGCTCTGCACTCAGAAATTACTCCTGGCAGTGCTTGGGGGACCATATGGGATGCCAGGGATCGAACCCAGGTCGGCCACATGCAAGGCAAATGCCCTACCTGCTGTGCTATCGCTCCGACCCCAGTCGTGATATTTTACCTGATCATTTTTCCTTGACCCTATCCCCCATTCTCCAAATCTGGCCTAAGAGTAGAATTCGGTCTGCAGATACCCTAGCCAGGCATTCCCTATGAATACAGAAAAATCAATAAATATTGTTTACTTTATAAAAAACTGCCATGCCTTTATGTAACAAAAGTGTAAATATTCAGAAATGAAATTAATAAAAATCATGACAGCTAATAAAATCTAATTGCTTTAGTGGGGTGGGTCCCATTTTCCTCTCTCAGGTAAACCCCCTACAGAGTCAACCTGGTTAGCCTGGAGACAAGACATGACTTTTGTTGTTGTTTGGATCATATCTGGTGATGCTCAGGGGTTAACCCTGGCTCTGCATTCAGGAATCAGTCCTGAAAATGCTTGGGAGCACCATATGGGATGCTGGGGATCAAACTCACGTCGGCTGTATGCAAGGCAAGCACCCTACCCATTTGTACTATCATTCCCGCTGCCAAGACAGTGGTATCACAAAGTTCTAGCTGCAATTTGAAAGACTTCAGTAGGTGCAAAACCCATAATAACTACGGACCTCCGTTTTCTGGTTTATTGGATTAGTAACAGACGTCTTAGCAACTCCGAAAAGTCTCTGCACAGGCGAACCTGCATGTGAAAGTGATTTGCACTTCGTTTAAAGTCTCAGGTCGTGCAGCAGGCTCCAAGCCAGAGCTGAGAATCTACCTTCTGCCCCCGTCCTCACTCTTGCCGCCAGGTGAGCTGGCCTGGGCAGACCCCTCCTTCCTGCAGCCTCTGAGGTGTCCAGTCTGCAGGGGCATCAGCCTGGATTTTTCTACCGGATCTGTGAGTCTGTGGAGCATGTTGTTTGAGTATGTCCACTGGTATCACTCCCTGTGGCTGAAGCCCACCGCAACTGTTGCCCGTGGAACCATCATTGAGGGCCACTCAGGCTTTTCTCTGATCTAATGCCATCTAGGCATCACATCAGACACTATTTCACGTGACACCTTGGGCTTAGTTTGGAGTTCCGTTTTCTTGCTCACCCCTTCCCTTTCCTCTAGTTAACACTGTGGAAGGGACGGAGGGTCTCACGCAAAGCATGACTGCTGGCCCCGTGTGCCCCCGAGCCACGCTGACCCGTGGTCCTCATGCTTTCCTGCAAGAGTCCCACTCCCGCCTCTGGTGCTTACTTACACACACCCAGCTGCCTATGGCCATGCGTGTGGCCCATCTCAGGCAACTGGCACGTGCAGTCCTGAGGATGGGAAGCAGGTGTTGGGGGTCCTGCCGCCAGCCGCCTCAGCCCAGGGCCGCTCCCTGACATGAAGGACTGGCTTGTTCTTGACTGCAGGAGGGGGATGAGCACTATAGCACCCCAGGGTGCTGTCATTCGCCTGGGGCAGGGGCGGGGGAGGGGCACTGTCCTCTTCACAGGAGTGACCATCAGGGGGCACTGCAGCTGGCCACATCTTTCTATAGCTTCTGCAGGATCAGTCACTGTGAGGACACGATGTCCCAAGGCGTTGGCTCTCCATGCCAGCATCTGGCTCCCTGTGGAAAGATGAGGCTGTGGGGCCAGCCTGGCAGTGCCCCCTGGGTGCCCTCGGTGGCATCACCTGACATCCTGCCACCCAAGGCCAGGACGGGAAGGCTGGTGAGGAGACACATCCACCCAGTACTTGCTTTGGGTTTTTCAGTTCTCGAATATCTCATGTTCTTCCTCTGAAAGCTGGGTAGAAGATGTGTACCCTGTATGCAGTAACTGCAGAAAACAAAGCCTGTGCATGTGCAGGCTGGTGGCAGTGCCACATTCTCGGCTGTTCCCAGGGACTCTTGTTTGTGACTCAAACCAGCTCACGCCAGGCTGATCTCAGAGAAGGAGGCGCGCTTTTGTGAGCCCGTCTCCTGGGGTCCTGGTCCCAAGCAAGAGCTCCGGTTGGTTCCTCCTGCAAAGATGGAGACTGTCCGACCCTGCCTTTAGGAATTCAGACTTCTTCTCACCATGGAAGTAGCTTAGTTTTAGAAATCTCACCCTTTTTTGTGTGTTTGTGGCGGGGGAGGGGGACACACC